AAGTAGCGAAAGAAAAACCCCAGTACAGACCTTCATCTTCTGGAGCTTCTGGTGTTGGTACACCCAACTGCCCAAAATTGTTTAATCCGCAGACATAAACAGTGCCATCAATGGATCGAGCAGCAGTCCAAAATCCACCAGCCATAATGTTGTCGAACAGGACCAGTTTCTTCTTCCCCTTATCGTAAACTGAAATTCTTAACGAGTCTGGTGAATCGTTCACCATTCGCTGGGAGCGAATGTGAGAAACCCGTGAACATCTCCCTAATTGGCCAACTGAGCCATCGCCGAACGTTAACACTTCGCCATTCTCTGTTAGCATTACCAAATGATTCTCGCCTGCTGCAATCTGTAAAATTTTCATAAACTTAATCAGTAAAAGCAATTACCCAACCTACTCAAGAACAAAGAGTTACCCAAATTCACTACACATCTGAACGACGATACCTTTACGATGACTTTTTGTTGATGTTGCACTATGACCACTGGTTGTTTCTCCATCTCCAGCAATGTTTCATGGCTTTCAATGCAACCCGACATCCCCTTAAATGAATGAATTAAATGAATGATTCTTCTCATTAGCAGCATGTACAGTGCATAACTTTATCAAAAAAAATTAACAACATAAAAATTACCCGTAGATTACCCCAAGCGATAACACTCCCTTTTTCAGTGAGTGCTGCTGAGAAACTAGCACCAGCGGCAAGCATAACTACCTAAAATAATCATCTGATAGAAACCACTCATAATTCCTTTTCTCTCACTAATTACTTTTCTTCTTCTCTGTTGATATATTTGGAACCAAATAAAAAAATCGATTTTCCCACTATTTTGCAAAAGTACAAACCTTTCCATGGCGTTGTATGAGTGAATCGCTGAATTTAATTGGAGTTAGCTTATCCGACGATTCTTCTGGCTCAATACCCTCACCCGGGACAGTACCTTTTTCGTTTATTCCACATCCATACACTGTACCATCCTCCATCAACACCAGTGAGTGAACCCCACCTGCTATTACCTGAAATATACTTTTAAATATGGCTCTGAGCCATTAGTTTGACCTACGTAATACAGTTTCATTAATGCATGGAATACGCATTCGAGAAAAGCCTTTAAATCTTGAAAAGAAAAGGACACATGTGGAAAAAAAAATCAAGCATAATATCACCTTTGTGGACAGCCACTGAACAAAAAATATAACTTGTTCTTAGTTGCTATAATTAAGTGTGAATTTTAGTGTTTTTTTTTCAAAAACATTTAACCAACCTGAACGATCAACTTCTCCTCCGGAAGTGTACTAATAGCTCGCGGTTTCCGAGTTGTACTCCGCCCTGGATGTCCAAGCTGTTCACCTTCGCCACAACTCAAAACTCGATCTCCTTTTTCAATTGGCAAAAAACTCTCAACCGACAAATGGAACTTCTTCACCCGACGGGTAGTTGAACTCCCGGCACTACTATCTAAAACACTTCCAAAACCATTGGTAATGTCATAATACATTCACACTATTCAAAAAAGCTTAGAAAAAGTATCACTAATTTTAAAATACCATGAATATACGTTTTTTGTCTAAGAACAAGTAAAGTTTTGGAACAAATCAAAAAATGAGAAAAGGTCAGGTCACTGAAGAAACAGGTTCAGAATAGTAACTTAACCTAACATCTAATTTTTGTTCCTGACCAATCATATCCAATAAAGCTATATCAAATCTCAAAAACGTTCCTCCTCTTAAAATTATCAATATACTTACCGCATATAATCCTAAAATTTTCCAGAGCCATATTCAAAAGTACTTACTGAGCGTCTGATTTACAGTAGAACAGGTGCTTACATCCAGATCAAGAATTTTCCGCTTCTTTCCACGTCCACTACTTTTCAGTCGCAGACTGTCTTGCTCACCCTCAATATCATCAAATTGTATCAGTTACCTAGCTGCCCTGTTTCAACAACAATCTAGGCAAAATGAAATTCATAAACAACCGAAACAGGGTGGATATGTATTCTGGTTACAGAATATTGTAGCTATTGTAGCTACTTCCTTTTTTCCCCCTTTTCTCCCATACTCATATTCTACGCCGGAAGTATCACATATAAAGGAACCAACATTTATACTTTTTACTTCTTTCACATAGAAAATTTATCGGAAAGGCTAATTTCGATGAAAATCGTACTTACATTGATCAGTGAAGATTGTGCTGAAGAAATCGCTGGTTCCTCCACTTCGGTATGTTCATCCGTATCCATGGTGACTATTTGTGCTCCTGTTAGAGTTGTCGGTGCTGTTCTCAAAGAAGCTTTTACCACTTCCTTCCCTTTCTTCTTTTCTCGTTTCCTCCCATTCTTTTCCGTCTTTCGACGTTTTGGCTCTTCTGTCGGTTGTTGTGTCACCTTACGAGCTACTTTTTTCGGTGGCATTTTCTACAAAACATTTTATATTTATATTAGGCATTTTTGGAAGATTCGTGCAATCATGCAAGCATATAAATGAAGACGCAGGTAAACCTGTTGCACAAGGTATTACAATAATATGGTAAGGAAATTAGAAAGATAACAGCAATAAACACAAAACTTTTTAACAACCACTCAGTCAAATATTGACAATAATAGATGTGTAACAATTCCGTAGAAATACAATAATAAAGACAGAAAGATGAATATAAGTCATTTGCATAGAGCTTTTAAACCAGTAATTTCCAACCGGTAGCCCCCGAGAACTAACATATGGTCCGCGAGAGTAGCGGTGTGGTAGGTAGGAAATTATTAATAAAAGAAAAAAGAAAAAATTTCGTCCTTTGCGATTGTGATTGTTCCCATGTTCCCACTTTCTTATATCATATATCATCCTAAATTTAAGTTATACACCTTGATTAAAGTTTATTTTTAAACTGACAGGATTTAAAATTTTTGAAACATATGGTCACAAATACAAGTAACTCCAACACGAAAAAAAGAAACCAAAGTTGTTCTCTGTTAAGGAAAGGTTGAAAATCACTGCTTTAAACGATCAACAATGTTCTGCTTCATTGTAAAAAGTCGAAATTCTAATTTAATAAGCTAAACTCAGAGTAATGTAAGCAAAAGAAAAAAAAAACATTTAAATAACCATAAAAATAAAAGTATAGTAATAATTACTAACAAAAATTTACTGTTGTTAAAAAAAATTTTATATAAATTCTAAAAGAAAAAAAAAAACCTAAAATTGAAAACTAATTTATTACTAAAGATAATTACTCCATCAACCCTAACACTGAATCATTCCAATCATTCATCTCCAATCTTTCCAACAATTTCAATACGGCACGGCTATCTGTCACAACCGTGTATGAAATTTCGAATCCCAGATGGTATTTTCATTTTTTAACAAATATATATATACATATATATACTAAGGTCACGAGTCACGTATAGTCACGTGTTGTTCACGTCATGAAATTTCATTCCTTAAATTTTTGAAATAGATAATTGAGGTAAGAATTAACTGGTAATGTAAAGAAATCGATATTCATTTTGATATTTCATTTTGATGGACGAATTACACGTAATTCAACCTTACTATCTACATCATGTAATGTTATTTATTATAACAGATAATTAATATAGAAATGAAAGGAAAATTTATACGATTTTATCGTGAATCATCAGCTAACCGAATTAAAACATATGATGAAATCGGAAAAATGAGGAAATGTAATAAAGGAAGAAATTTATTGGAATTTACTAATTTGCTTATCTTTCCAAATATTTTTATCATTTATTCAACAAACTACTTTCATTATCGATATTATAATATTGAAATTGATTGATCCAGTAAACATTACTATATTAAATATATTCACGGAATAAAATAGAAAAATTGTTAGTATCATTTACTTGGAACTATACTATTTCACGTAATTATACTTGACCGAATAATTGGATGATTTAAATCATTTGATTCTTTTTTCCTTGTCTACGGTATCATTATTTGTAACATTATTTATTTCCAGTACCTTTATTTGATAGCATTTATTACGGTAAACAAGGTAAACAATGAATGGATATTCATTTTTCATAAGACAGATTCCAGTTAACAACGAAAAGCTTATCATAATGTATATCTTCTCAATTAAACTATTTTATCCGGAAAATTTTAGTCATATTACGATCTACTTTATTTCATCCGAAAATTGACCAATTATTTAATCCTGTATGATTCATGGCATTATATGATAATTAGCTAACCAGTAATAATTAGCTAACCAGTATACATATCTTCTTAATTGAACTATTTATCTCGAATTTTTTTTTTCAAATAGATTCTTTTTCCGATTTTTTCAATTTCCGATGCTTCGCATGAAAATTTCATTGCTATATGAATATAACTATCCGTAAGAATTCCTTCATACAAATTAAATTTTACGGTTTTTTTTTACGGTTTCAATTCTATTACATCCGTAAACTTTAACTGACATCTTTCTTTTATCATATGGTAATTTCATGAATAGTTGGTAATTACACGTCGGAATCGGATTATTGATGGAATAACTTCCAGAATATAAGTATTTAGACTAAGCGAGAGACAACAGCTTAATTTTTGCGTTTGGGGAAAGCGTTCGCGCTTCCCTGTGGTTGTGGTGTGATTCGGTCCATTGGAGCGCTAATGTGGGGTGTGGTGGACTTAGACGGTTGTTCGGGTGGAGGGTGGTAGTGTCGGCAAATAATGCTGTAGCGTAGGGTAGAATGTTGTGTCAATAACATCAAGAAATGGAACGATACGTTAGAAAAGTTTGCAACTAAGGTTAAGCAATCTTGGAAGTCGTGGATGAGTTAGCTACCTAGGTTTAGGCTGCTAACTCTTCCCAGTGAAGCCTGAAGAAGTAGACTTATTCATTAACTTGCAAATTCCTAAGTAATCCTGCGTCAAATGTGATACGAGGTTGAAAATCTAAAAGTACTAGAACCCATTGCTTCAAGATTTAACATGATTCTTATTTACTATCAGAGTTTCTTGTAACAAGTGCGGAAAAAAAAAAAAGAATTAAGCTATGATTAGGTTTTACGAACCATCGAAAGCTTATAACTAATAATTAGATTGGATGGATTGGTTGACCAGTTTGACATTATGTGCTTCCTGGTTTCAAAAAAACCCGAAAAATACGGTAACATCTAAGCGTGTCTACAGGCATCAAATTAGACCTCATCATTATTATATTTTGGGATGCGAGGGACTATTTGCTTTGCCGGAATATTTACTCCGGAATGTTCATCCGGCAAGGCACCATTTTACATTCCTCGAAAAAAAAAAAAAACAAACATTCCTCGCGAAATGTCATGGTCTGGAGTAAATACATGAGATACCGATTTGCACAATGCCCGAAAGCCGGAGTGCTGTGTGTGTGAGTGGATATGCACGTGTTCATCCTTGCTAAGAGAAGGGTCAAATCAAATCGATCGATGAGGTCCTTTGAACTTTGACCCTGTAAGGGATCAGTGTTTGTTACCAGTTTGTGAAGGTGGTAGGGACAGATTTCTCTGCTTTCAATTTCTTTCCATTTATTATTCTGTTTTTCCAATTTCTTCTCTTTTATTATTCTGTTTTTTCCCTTTTTTTTTAGTTTCCAAATGCCCATTTATATGAATTTGTATTATTTTACACTTCAGTTTTTTTAGAAATTTTCATTAAAATAATACTCATATATGTATATCTCACTTTTGATGTGTGGGGTAAGATCAGGAGCGGACAGCGATCATTGGTCATTATCATTGTAGCTGTTCTGCTATGGATCTGCTGTTGAACAGATCCATAGCAGAACATTAGTGTGCAGTTCTTATCCGTTCATTTATTAATTCTACATTCTTTTATGTTATAGTATTCAGAAATTATTTTAGCATTTTTTTTTTCACGTAGGGTTGAGTTGAATACATAGATAAATATTTGTTACCAAGTTTAATGTTGACTAACCTTATTTAAGAAGTTTATGTATTATATATGAGGAATTTTTTTCTTTTTCAACAATATTATCTTGATATGCTTTCGGTATCCTTTGGATAGAATATATTAGTTTTGAGTTCATTTAGTGTTGAAATTTGCATATATTTCACAATCTTATATTCGAATAAGCCGTTGCATATCCACTTATTTGTTAATAATTTTGCTATTTATCGGTTTGTTTTTTCCTTACTGAACATGTCTCTTATATATTTCATCTTTTATCATAATTTTAAGGGAGTGATGGGCGATTTCGATGTACTCACTAGCGACCAAGCTAATATGCTACGTCAATTTCAGGTTAATTTTTGTAGTGATTTTCTACAATAGTTATTTTTTAACCTATTAAAGTATCATATTACCATGTTACCATGTTACCTTACTCATTTTAAGAAATATTAAATTGAAATGGTCATTTCAGGAAGTCACAAATATTCAGGATGAACAGATGGCATTGGCAACACTGGAATCATTGAACTGGGATTTGCCAAGGGCTATTGAAGCACAACTATGTAACGATAATGATGATATAGGCCCGATGGAGGTTGATGATCCACTTCTAATAGAACATAACGACCAACACTTACGCCGAACAGCTTTCACAGAGCTTGAGAATCAGTAAGATTACCTATTGATGTTGGTACTTTCAGTTACAGGGAAGTGCAATTTCATGCCAGTTTGTAATATCACTAATTGCAGTTTCATTACACTGTTGTGATTTTTCGGAAATCAGTTCCATTGTACTTGTTTTACATGTAGACGGTAGTATGTGCCAATATTCAGTTAGTGTAAGTTGAAAATAGTAAAATATCATCTGCTAGAATTTACCAATGAATTTATTTTCATTTTACAGATCAAGGAACAATTCAATGGAGAATGAAGGTGAAGATCTTGATTTTCCTTTCGGACGTTTGATAGCTGGCGGCTCACTGGAAGAATCAAATAGCAGTCAAAACTCTCCCCATGGCAATGGTTTTGTTTTTTCTGAAATGACAGATAGTCTTAATCCACGATACTTTACTTTTGGATATTAGTGCTAAAATCTTTGGTAATAATTACATAATTTGTCAAAAAGGGATCGGTAACAAGGTTTTCTGGATCGCGAATCATTTTCTAATCGCTTATGATTATGTGCACAACGAAAAAAACTCGATGCATGAAATGACTGCACGATTTGAATATTTGGAGTTACTGTCACTATTCCTGTATATTTTCTCAGTTGATGTTATTTGGTCTAATTTATATGGTCTACATTACAAATTGGAAAACGAAACAACTAAATGATTTATCTAGAATTTTTCGTATACATAGTGAGATTATAGGTTCGAAAACCATGGAACCTTCATCACGTCGAGTTCTGCTAACAACATCATCTTCGGGTAGTGGTTCTAGTTCTCGCATCACACGATCACGTTCACGTCTAACTGAAGAGTCACAGCATGATGTTTCGCCTATCCCTGCCATGCGCAGCTTTCTTATTGATGCAGAGAATAGTGATTCTACCGATAACGATGGTAATGATGATGATGATGCTTACCACGATGCTGCTCCTTTTGGACAGTTGAATGAGGAAGATGCGGTAATTTATAGTTTCTGCAAATGAGTTGTAAAATCTTGATTGAACAATTTGCTTCATTTCGAAATTTGGATGTGTTCCACTAATTCGTAAACAGCGAACAGCGGTAGGCTTTGGATCATATTTATTTGTTGATATCAACTGTCCATTTGAAGGATTTAGCATTCGTGGAACTTTAAACTAATAGATGGAAATATTGGTATTAAAGCTGTATAAGCATTTGAGAGAATCTTTGAGAGGTTTGGTCTTACCCAGATGGGGTGGTTTGCTAAAAATCATCGTTTTTAGAGTTTAAGTTTTCATTTTCATAAGATAAGTGCACAACTATTTTCAGAATCCATCGTTTCATGATGATCGCGTGCCATTAGTGCCTTCTGATTTCACTTCCATTGATGAAGCATTACATAACTTTGTAACTGTTTTTGAGGCGAGGTAAATTTTTGTTCTTTTGCCAACACCTTATAATTCGCCCCGTTATAAACTTTATTGCTATAATTTTCAATAATTTGACATTGGCGGACAAAGTTAAACTCTACCTATTTACACGTTGGTATATGGATGAGATAATGTCACATATACGAGATAAACCGATAGGGTAGCTTTGTTTATCAAAATTTTTAAATTTATTTTCCATATTAATTTTTCACAACGGCTAGGTTTACCAGACTCAGCATTAGTGAACTTGACAAATTGTGATACATACCTGCAGTATAATATGGCCGTAAACAAGAGGTGCAGGATGCATGACCTTAAATTTGCCATTTAATTCTGGTGAACTGAAATAAGACTACCAATTTAATATTTTTTGTGATGCTGAACTCATCTTTGATGATTCTGTTTAGGTACGGTGGAAATCATCCACCTTTCTATTCTGGTTCTTTGCAAGATGCATTACGTGAAGCACTGGAGGCACCAGGGCGGCCGGTTGCGGAGCGTCGACCACTTGCTGTCTATCTACATAATGATCATGCCGTCGCGTGCAATATTTTCGCGAAAAATGTTCTTGTTTCATTTTTTGTAATTCATTTTGACAAAAGTAGAGTTCTTTTCAAATTCATCGTATTCTATGCATTTTAATATCTCATTTTGGATCCATTTTATGTTGTATCATAAATTTAGCAATACTGGTTGTCTAATATAAATATACTATTCCTCTAACAAATTACCCATGCATTCTTTGGGTGTTTGAAAAGCTGTTCTATGGTCATTTCATCTATGTGATTATGGGGTTTTATTTAATATTATTTTCAGGTACTTTGTTCAGGATTGGTTTCCTCGCTTCTGAAAGGGCAGTTTATAACGTGGCCTTGGGATATCACACAAAAAGAGAATAGGCTTAAATTGTTTGAATGGATCGATATGTTGAACGTCCGTGATATAAGACGAACGCTGGAGAAGTATATTTAGTTTTTATCAATCAGCTAATGCTTCACGCTTCTCATAATTTTCATATTTTTTGCATATTTCGAATAATAACTAATTCTATTAGAACGTCTTTGGTAGCATGCGCTTTTGTTGTTGTAGTCTTCGGTGAAGTGGTATAGAGAAAAATCCAAACACTTCGATGCATTCTTCAAAGCACTTCTTACTGGAGTAAGCTCCGGTTAAATTTAAATGGATATTTGAATCAATTGCAAAATTAAATATTCAGATTTTCTGATGAGCGATTCCCTCTGCTAGTGGTTATTATCAAAGAAAAAAGTGTCATCTTACCAATAAGTGTCGCGTGGGGTAAGTCACATGCATCGGATATCGAAGTTTGTAAATGTCCTTCAGTCACTCATGTCCTTGAAGTCTTAAATTATAATTTGGAGTGTGTATATTTGTTGCCAGGATGCGATGGACCTGAACAAGTAGTCAACAAACTGATGGAGGGATTGGAAGAGTATCAGCGTATCAAGAATGCTGAAGCTGTTGAAGAAAGAGAACGCATTGAAAGGTAAATCATTAGCTTTTTCAGTCTCTTTTAGAATGTTATATATAATTCTTTTCATATATATTCTGCAAATGAAAAAAGGCGATGGGACACGAATTGTTAAAGTAACTGTATTAATTTTTCTTTCTTTTTTTTTTTTAGCAGAAATTGATTTCTGTTTTAAGGGAAAAAATACGAGAGGAACAAGCACGAGAATATGAACAATCGCTAGCACAGGATAGAGCTCGTCAGGAAAGACTTGAGCGTGAAAAAAATGAGCAGAAGTGAGTTGTTTCATTTCTTCCCTACTATAACGGCACTAAAATGAAATAAAATATCATGCTTGTTAAACGTGATGTTCAAGAATTTTGCATTGGAATAACGGTAAATTGCAGGGCGGAAGAAGAACGTCGAGCAAAAGAGGAACAAAACAAAACGAAACGTTTGCAGGAGTTGGCAGCAAGTTTGCCAATGGAGCCGGCAGCAGACGAAGCAAATATTGCAATAGTGCGAGTTCGTTTCCCGGACGGAAAAATGGAGTTACGAAGGTAAAAATTTTCAGAAAATGATCTCTACTTTACTGAGAATGTTTGTTATCTAACTGAGCCATCATTGTATCTATACGAAGACTGGGGCTTCCAAGAGAGAAAGAGGGATGCAATAAAAGCAAAACATTACTCATATACTGTAATCTTGCCACCCCTTTACGGATTGTTTGCGGTTCCATCATATTAACATTTAATTAGTCTCTAAGGAATTTTATTTCAGATTTCGCATGAGTGAACCGCTCCGTAACGTGACGATCTTTGTTGAATCAAAAGGATATAGTCTAGATACACATCGAATTTGGACCTCAGATGTGCCAATGAAAAATGTGGTATGCTGTTAGTCTTTCTGATTGAAACTAAAAGTTTAATAGAGTAAAATGAGAGCAATATTTCAATATTTCGATGTCTTCAACTACTCATACTTTATCCGTTTATGTACTTTTTTAATGGAGTTTACTTCCCTACTACGTTATTTTAGTGGATTCAAATAACCGTAAGGAAGATTCCATAAATTCGTGATTTACAAAGTGAATGTATCATTTTAGGTAGAATCATATGATCTCAATCGTTCATTAGCGGACATTAAATGGCCGATTCGCGAGCAGATCACTGTGGACGAAAAGTGAATAGTGAATAATGAATAGTGAAGTGGTAGCATTCGGCAACGTTGCAGACATGTCTCCATCTTTCAGCATTTGATGAAATTTATTTAGAATGATCACCTGCCTCCACTTATTTCGATTTTCAATATATTATCGTAAAACAACAGCAGCAAAGTGTAATAACAGCGGAATCAATCAAAATCAGTAAAAGACCAACAGCGTAGGATTCAGTCATATTTAAAGTTTTGCCAGGAACTTTTTCCAGGTCCCATTGAACGTAAACACTCATTTCTTTTGTTCTTTAGATTTTGATATAGTTTGAAACTTGCTAGGTTTAGGTATATTTATTTCCAAAGCTTTATTCATGAAATGAGCAGTCATTTTGACGTTTTTAAAGCTTACATTTCTTTTTTGCTTTTTCTTAATTTTTTCAAAGAAATGGTTTATTTGACTGATTGACTTCAGTAGCGTTTTTTTGTTTGCAAGGAGATTTACATTTTCTTAAAAGCCTTTGTGTTTCAAAAAAGGCAAGATAGCATATGTAATTTTCATATGTCATTCACAAAAACCATAGATCCATAATTTCTATTGGATTGCTTAACAGTTCTATTAAAAAAGAAAAAAAAAATGGGAAATAAGTAATGTTGCAGTAGCCAGTAAATTATAAATCGCTTGAAAGTGCAGTTGTTCGGTTTAAAATTATTTATTTATTTTTTTTATTGCTTCATTTAGAAGCTTTTTTGTATCACCAGATGCGCTCGAAAGGGGAGCATCCCTTCGGGGCCATCCAAAAAAGAACTAGAATTCCCTAGGTATCATCCTATGCAAAATTACAAATAAAGCTATCCTGATTATCTGATTACTTGATTCAGTTATGCAGCTACCTAGAATTCTTGAAAGGTTTCGCTGTGTCAAGCAGTGGTTTTTATTGACCGCTGTTGCTTTATTTTACTGGCCTTTAATCCTCTGCTGTTGTTTTCGCTGTCATTTTTATATCTCTCCATCAATGTTTTTGTTTCTTTTTTCTATCATTTTTATTTTTTAGCTGTCTGTTTGCCCATAACTTGAGTATGTTGACGATTGTACTGTTTATAATGTGAATCATTCGTGGTCATTGCTTGTATTGTTTGGAAAGTAAAATGTATGTCTTTCAATGGTGTACGAATAGGCCCTATTTATGAGGACATACTTACATTTGTTTGTTAGCCTTTTCATCTGCTTTCAGGTTTGTGGTCTTTCTCTGACCTGAGCGGTAATTTTATCAATTAATTTCACTAACTAAATTTATAGCTGATGTAAATAAAATTTCCATCCTGTAGCTAAAATATATAACATGTGATGCTTTTCATCATTCAGCCAATCAAATCGACCTAGTTTCTGTATGATATTCTCTCAGAAATGAATGCTTCGAAAATTCGTGCATAGGAAATACTTTCGATTTGCTTTTTTTTAAATATGTTAAATATGGTGATATATGATGACATTTATCATGTTCTTTTAGAGAATATACAAATTTACTGATCATTAAAAAAGGATTTCAATGTTTCATTTTACATCATTTTCATAAAACAACCGTGCTAAAAAGCTTCACTTCCATGAATTTATTCTTTATATTACGCTGCATTGGATTAATTTTAATGCTTATTGCTTCAGTGCTCTTCTGCTATATACCATATCGTCGATTGGCTATTATCAAAGAAAAACTTGAAAATATAAGTGGTACTCACGTTCGTTACGTGAATCTAATAAAGCATTTGTTAAATATGACAAATTGCAAGCAAATATCCTGGAGCACATGGGATCAATGTACTGCTAAACAACAAAATATAACACGTCAACGTGAGCTATCATTTGCAGATTGTCAATTAATATACGAGAATATATCATGTGATTGTAGTGATAATTTAATTGAGAATATTCAAGAAATTGATGAAAATTCCTATGTTCGTTATGGATGTATTCCAGGATCTAATCAACAATTAGCAATGTTATCAATTAATGCAACAATTGTTAATGTTAGCATCAAAAATTTATCAGGAATAATCTTTGAACCATGTATTATAAATCATTGAATCCTAAATTTATGATGTAAAAATATCATTGGAATAATATTTTTTATTATTATTTGCTTGGAGAAAAATAGGTATTTGAAAAAAATAAATCATTTACTCATTATTGTAATTGTAATCCATTTTTTAATCAATTGTACAACAAATAACACTTCATTATGAATTATTTTCAATAAAAATTTACTTGAATTTTGTGGATTCTTAACAAATTATGCTTTAAATGTCATATTAACTAAAATTATATTATATTATTCTTTTCAAAATCTTCTAATTTCCAAATATATTATGATGTTAAGGAATGTATACAATGTATCCGAAAATTTGGAATACAATAAAAGTTTCAAATTAATGAAACTTTTTTTAGTTTTAAAATTTCCCAAATATTTCTAAAATACAATTTAATTTGCATATTACTTATCATACTTTTACTAGAATTTATTACACTAATTTATTATACTAAAAATTTTTTATACTAGAATTATTATACTTATCATACTTAAATTCATTATTGTAGTAAAATTTATTGTACTAAAATTCAATATTTCATTAGTAACCTATATATTATTATACAGGTAACATGTAACTTTTTACATGTTCGTATAAAAAAAATACGTAAATAAAATTTGGAATACAATAAAACTTTCACATTAATGAAACTTTTTTTAGTTTTGAAATTTCCAAATATTTCTAAAATACGATTTAATTTGCATATTACTTATCATACTATTACTAGAACTTAGTTACATGTTCGTATAAAAAAAAAAAAGTCGTAAATAATGTATAGAAAAAAAATCGTAAATGTAAGATAAATGTATTTTTTTTTGCATAAAATGTATAAAATACATTTTATCTTTACATTAAAAACAATCATTCTTTCATTTACAATCATAAATTTTTTTTTTGTTTTGTTTCATTTTAAATTATGCAAATTTTGTGAGCTCTTTATATAAATTTCAAAATATCATTTGATATTTTTTTAATTACATTGCATTGATTGAAACAGGCGTTAATGTATAATTTAAGGCGCAAAAAGGCTCCAATAAATGCTCAAATATTAGATGATAATAGCGTAAAAATTTCATCAAATTTATATCAAATTTTTGAGATAATAACAAATCGTGTAATGTCGCATGGCGGAATCATTTCTATGCTTAATCAACAAGCTACAGAATATCAGCAATGGATTTTTGATGAACAAAAAAAAGCAGAAGAAATTTTAAGAGAAAAGTAAGAACGAAAGAAAGAAAGAAAGAAAAAATGTGGGAAATATCGGGAATGATTGAAAATTAAAAATGGAAAAATGGGTGTCAAAATTTTTGGAAATATGGGAAATATTTGAGAATGCAAAAGATGGGAAGAAAAATTAAAATTTTGTGAAATATCACGGATTAGGAATATATTTGTGGTATACGATACAAATATCATATTTTAAATTATTTTGTAATATTACCGCTTGTTATTCAAACTACCATAATTAATTACTTTATATTATCAGTTATATACTGTAATTTATGCCGTATTATTTGTGATACTAATAATTTTTGAAATAGTTTTTTTTGTTTTTTTACCGTTCCTTATTCAAACTACCATAATTGATTGCTATCAGTTATGTACTGTAACTTATACCGTATTATTTGTGATAGTAATAATTTTTGAAATGATTTTTTTTTTGTTTTTTTCTTTAATTTGTAATAATTCATCTTAATTGAGATACATTTTTTTTTTTTGAAATTACAGTGGATATGTATTACCAAGGATACGAATACCACCGATTAATCTTTGGTCAGATGATTTCCTAAATCTTTTAAAAATGACCAATGAAAATAAACGAAATGATAAAAATGACGAATGTTATCTGATTGGTAACCTAATTAAACAAAAGTATCATATTTGATATTATCTAAAAGTTTGCACAATTAAAGAATATTTTGAGTGATCAATGATCAATTGGAATAATTATTAAATCCGTAAATTGGACAATCATTTTTATTTTTATTTTTTGTTTTTTTCCCAGTAAGCTCTTAACCGATAATATTAAATTTTCCGTAACATATAATTACAATATATACATTTCTTTTGAATATATTAAATGTAATTTCAGGATAGATATCAGGTCTAATTCATTACAAGATTGGAGGATGACTTCATCATCATCATCTAATAATGATTGCAATAATCAATTACTTCTATCAACTATCGTATTATTTTTATATCATCAATTTGTGATATCGTATTCTTTTATTAATTAATAATCAAAATCATGTTAATTATTGCCCCCTAATAACTTTTGTTATTTATCATTAATTAATTATCATTCACCAATTATTCAATTTATTACTAATATTCATATGTAAATCATTCATTTAATGTTAATATCTTTTAATTATTCCTTGACATTTGTAATATATTTCATCCTTTTTTTTTTTTCCTCACTAATAACATATTATACTTTTTTTTTATTAATTACAGGTAGCAGAAGGTGTACGTAAATTTTGCGCCAAACGAACAGCTAATGCAATTTGCCGGAAGAAACAAATATTGAAAGCAGTAGCTGAAAAAACGCGAAAGTAATCTATTATTAAAAAACAAAAAAAAAAATTTCTTATAATTTTATTGCATAAAAATAATAATATTTATTTTTATAATTATTAATATTTAAAAGAATGAAAAAAATTTTATAAATGGTCAATTTTATAAAAGAAAATTTGCAAATGGTCAATCAAAGTGGTCAACTTTTTGTAATTTTTTTGTTTTTTTTTTATAAATGGTCAGATTTCGAGAAGATAGCCATCGTCGAGTGAGGCAACGTAAGAAGGAACTTGAGAAAGAAGATGAAGAACGACGAAAGCAATCGATAACTAAAATTAAACAACAGGTAATTCATCCTGAAAAAAAAAAAATACTCGTTAGGATATTTATAAATGTTTCTATCATCTGTTTTTGTATGATGAATCGATGACAATTACTGATGTAAATTATTCGGATAATTTCTTAGTGATAATTTCAAATGGAATTTGTGAAAGAGTTTTACAAATCAACCGTATTATTTTTGATTCAAGTTAAATCCAACAAAATGATTCAACTCATTTTTGATTCAATTAAATCCAACAAAATGATTCAACTCATTTTTGATTCAATTAAATAGGATTATTGAATTATTCGATAGTAACGTTCTTTTTATCATATTTAAGACCTTAAAGATTATTATAATTTTTTTTTCTTTTTGATTTCATAATAAATACCAGAGAATATCGGAATTATAATGTGTTTATTCATTGCATTATGTACAGCAATGGTCACTCCCCAAAATGGTCATTGTTACCATTGTCCATTTCTTTCTTTTAATCTATCTTATTAATCAAGAATACTTCAAATGAATACAGTGATGCTTCGTTTTAAAATCAAAATTTGTTGGAAAAGTACTACAGGCTTTCAATGCTGCGACAAATAGAGCACGTAAACGTCGTGAACTATCTGTCACACCTATTGCTAAACGTACACGAAACGCTTATGGCTTAACACCAATTGCTAAACGATTTCATAATAAAATAATGGTATACAAGAATTTTCTCAATCATTTTATTAATATAATAAAGAAAATTTTGTGATATGATTGTTATCATATCATAATGTTTATCTGATATGATATGATTAATTAATCTAATAGTTTAAGTTTAAAAAGTGGATTGATGATGATTAAGTCTTTGTAATTGAAAAACCATTTTTATCAGTATTAAAATGATTAATGAAAAATAGCTTTCATACAGGAGAATAAAGGAATAGTACCAGTGAATACTGCGAAAGAACACCGAGGACGAGTTAAAATGATGAAGAAGACTGAACAAAAGGTAACAATTTTTTTAAGATTATTATTAAATGACAGCGACAATAATAATTAATAATCAATAGTAATAATAATAATAAAAATAATAATAATAATAATAATAATAATAATAATAATAATAATAATAATAATAATAATAATAATAATAATAATAATAATAATAATAATAATAATAATAATAATAATAATAATAATAATAATAATAATAATAATAATAATAATAATAATAATAATAATAATAATAATAATAATAATAATAATAATAATAATAATAATAATAATAATAATAATAATAATAATAATAATAATAATAATAATAATAATAATAATAATAATAATAATAATAATAATAATAATAATAATAATAATAAGTAAACGTAACGTAACGTAACGTAACGTAACG